TTTGACTCTCGCAAAGCGAAAAAACACTCGGTTCCACCCTCGTAAATGTTCTCTCTTTCAAATGACTGAAAAATGCTGTGTACGCATAATCTTGTCGGTGAAAAAACTATCAATTATCGTTTGCCTGGTTTACTCAAAGTGACGTACGCGTATTTTCTACCTTCGACACTAATTGGTATGAACGATGCAACAGCCCTTGTGAAGAACGGCTTAAAAATGTCACTGAACCAAACTTACATTTAGAAAAGCGCTTATAAGAGGAGCTGATACAGGCTTTGACAGTGGCGGACATCACTTCGGTTTATCAATACTGCTAAAAGTAGGGGCCCTTAGTCAAATTTTTTCTATTGTGTCTTGTTTAAGGCGTAGATATTGTTCCACACCATTAGTGTCGAAAGGGCTAATGGGACTGTTGTTACAATTTTGCGAAGTAGCACTGCTTGCTTTGGTGACCTGTGGCTGCTATAATAGCTGGTGATCGACTTGCTACCAAACAACTCTAAAACTCCACAGAAGTTTTTAGCCTGTTTTTAGATGGACCTTTTTCCTGGTGACTTCCACTTCGTCGGTCGACAGGGTCTTTGAGATCCAACTCGGTCTGTTTTTTCGGAGTTCAACGTTTTGCGCTCTTGCAATCGCTATGTAAGGAACAAGTGAATGGGACCCTCATCGTGAAGTGGGGATCCGAGAAATTGCGGTGAAGACAATACAGTAGTGATTGAGAGACTTTTAGGAAGAAGGGGAGGTGTAGTTGTTTCATTTCTCCGCTATTTATTGTGCTCTCCGGACTTTATGTTACATATGCTGACCACACTGTAGTAAGTATGACCGATGATGCAGCGACGCGAACGACCATTTTCAGCCCGCTGTTGTGTACGGCATAGTAGGATATTGTTTTCGAACACAATTCAATGTTAACTAGAGGTTGACACTGTTCTAAAAGTGCAACAGATCCCTTTCGATTGGTTTGGCAGATATTTGATATAGAAATCGCTTCGGCCACTGTGTTGAACCTAAGCACAACTTTCCATTTCTTTCAGAAGCAAAGATTTTTAGAACGTTTGGAGCCTACCCGAGTGGAATTAGCGGTAGTGAGCTAAAATGCTGAGCTGCATGTGTTTATAAAATGTATTGTCTAGGTCCAGCAGGCGTAAGAGTTATTAATTGACGCCCGAAAGATAAATCTCCTAGGCGAGGACAGATATAAGCAGTACATACAAACGACACAGGCAAGATTCGAATGGGTGTTGCCGCCGCACTGGATTTTTTTTGAAGGGCGACTGTTTCAATCAACGAAAGCGCCCAGCGTTTTAGTGAACATCTAGGAGAAGCACGGAGACGGGCGCGCTGCAGTGGCCTGACCTAGCACATTCATGCAGAGGCAGGAAATTTTTCAATAAAGGCTGAACCTTTAGCCCTGCTTTCATTCAAAACAGACCAGAGGAGTTCAGCGAAGTCTGGCTGTTAGTATTTTGGATCGTGCTACTCTTCGATAAAGGCGTCGTAACGAATACTGACTGTTTTGAGCCTGCTAGCGCCGTTAGACACGGTTCTTTTCACCGGCAAACAAAAATCAGTCGCTCTTCAGCTTCGCATGCTGGGCATGCCCAGCGGAGTTTCAACTGAGATTTCTGGGGCTCCCCATCATGACGACGACGCACATTTCTCAAGGTGCAGAAATTAAGTCGACACAATTCGCCAGGGCTGCCTGTTTCTCGACAATTTTGATGGTGGAGAAATGAAATGAACACTCATAAGTAATGATCTGCGCAGTTGAAGTTTGCCAGAGTGATCTCACAATTTCGGACAGAACAACTAATTTACCATATTCTTTTCAGAATAATCTTTGTTAACGAAAGAAGCTCACGGACCCTTTTTCAGCTGTAAGTTCTTCCGTGCGCCTCAGCTCTCCAAAAGGAGATAGTTGATGAGCATCGTGTTGAGTGTGTGTAACTGCACGAGATTGCTGAAAAAAAAGGTTGATTGAAGAGGACAAACGTGTAGCTTCTCCGGTTTATCCAGCTGCAGTGAACAAACTAGTATCTGTAGTTATCTCTTGCAACATACTACATAGATGCCTGTTTTGACATGAGTGAGCGTACCTTCATTAAAAGGATATTCTGACTAATCGTCGATGAGGAAATTTCGTGAACACTGTAACCATGATGCCCTAATTAGACGAGACCGATTTTCCATCATTTAACAGTACACACTGACATTTTGAGGTTCCTTTCGCATTTATATGGTTTCAAATTTTTTTCGCTGCTGGAACACCAAATTGCGCCATTGCCCATACCATCAATGTCCCCATATCTTGCGATGGCGCCTAATCTTGGACCGAAAATCTGCACGTTCTTGCTTCTTAAGTATATGAGCGGCGGATCATGCGTGATATTCTTTTTGACAGGCACAAAGTAACGAGGCAGTTTCTTATGATATTTGTTGCCTTCATTCCTGCCCGGCATCAAGCTCAAACTTTGCGTTCCGGTCCGTTGATCATCGAATTGCTCGAGCGGGCGCCAGCAACGTCTCCATTCGTCCCTGTCGCGTGCAAGAGTTGTCCAGTGGACCCTCCTCGCTCGAGGGACACGATGTCCTTCATTCCTTTCGTTCAGAGCTTTCGTGAAGAAGTCTGACCATCGGGCCGGCGGTCGTCCAGGTGTTCGTTTGACGTCCCGAGGGATCCAGTCGGTAACCGCTCTGGTCCAACGGTCATCGCAAAATCGCATGACGTGTCCGGCCCACCTTATCTTCGATTCCTTGGCGAAAACGGCAGCGTCCCTGATCTTCGACCGTTGGCGTATAGTTCGGATGTCCGGATTCTCTCAAATTCTGCCCACGAAGTAAGAGGAAAGTGAAGAGATTAGGAGAAAAAAGGGCTTAACTGTGCGCGCTCGCGGTTACCATTATTGTGCCCACGTAGAATCGCGGCCATTGCTATACTAAAAAGTAACCGTAAATTTTTGAGCATTGTATCGCTCTTCTGTCAAGGTCGTTATGCTGCGCTAGAAAAGCAAGTTTGATTTCTAAGGTTGTATTCAGGTGAACTTTTCAGTGGCTTTTTTGACCACACATCACCTCGCTCAGTCAGCATCAGATAACACTGCCAGTGCGGGCACATTCCGGGCAGGGTCGGTCCTATCGTTGGTACTTTTTGCAAAATTTTTACGACCCCCTCCTTCACGAGAAGTTTCATACGACCCCTCTTCACCACTTTTTCCCTCAAAAACACCGTCGAGCGGGAGGGGTATACGCACGCTGAAACGGCAAATTTTCTCCCGCGCGCTCTCACCTCATCACATGTAATTTCGTGCTACCGAAACAAGTACGACCCCCACCACAAACTTCAACAAACTACGACCCCCCGTTGGTACTTGTAGCAACGTAGGGTTGACCCTGATTCCGGGTGCCCCCCCGAGATGCCCGTCGCGAGACGTAGACGCATCTGCGTCTCTTCCTTCTCCGCGCGATGGGCCTCTTCGGGGACACCCGCACACTCCACGTATTCGCAGAAAATCAAAATGAACGTACTCAGGAGAGGATGGCTGAGGAACAGAAAATCGGAGAATTACGGTGGATTCAGCTCGTGCTCAATTATGTGGCTTACAGTAACCGATGTTGCTGCAGCGCATGTTTGTGTTGTTTTATGATCGACGTCCAAAGTGAAGAGTGATGCATTGCAAGAGACTCTCAAAAAGTGATTCCCTCTCGTTCCTCCGCTGTTCGATCTCTGGAATACGATTCCGTTTCGAGAACAGGCCAGTTCCTGTTTAACTTGCGCAGTCGACGTACAGCCATTCGGCTATTTCACAACTCTAAGGGGACAGCACCAACAAAGCTCTTTCATCTGGGATAGGAAGGTCTCAGGCACGTTTGCAGCGTAGCATAACTGTGTCCTGAATCTACAGCTTCTCCCTTCCTTGCAACCTCGGCATGTTAGTTGTAAGTGAGTTATATGTTCTGTTCCTCACGAGCTTGTTTGATGAAACTTTTACAAAAAGGCCTAAAGTTTTGATACTCTTAGCTTGTTACCGTTTTCTATGGTGGCGGACTAATCCGCCCAACGGTAGACTGTCGGCTTCTGAAGACGGCGACCCAGTCGATAAGTTAGGTCGCCAAGTAAAAGTTTTACCTAACAAATTCGTAAGGCACAGACCATTCAACGCACTTGTGTCCCACTGGAAAACGTATCAAATCTAATTTATTAGGATCTACTCCCAAACTAGCTGCAGCAATATTGGCAGTGACACTGGTAAATAGATCATGAAAGTGCCTTTCGATTCTGTACTGGTGAAGGGCAGTCAAAGAGGATAATCCAGGGTAGCGATCCGAGCTTTATGATATAGTGTAGAGTGAATTCCGCGTTCAGCAAATTTGACCCTACACGCTAAAGATAACATGCGTGCTGTGCTGTCCACACCCATTAATAATAATAAGAAATACTTGGAAAACGTGTAAAATAGAAATTGTCCGTAAACGTTCAGATCATTTGAAATCATGCTTACAAAGCTGTTGAGAAGGGATGGGTTGCCGTAACCCGTATATTGCGGATCTAAAGGAATTCTTTATCTCCTTTAGTGGGCTGCGTAGCGTACAGTTTTGTTTTAATGATTTCTGGAAGCGACAGTAGAGTACTTTAGCAGATCTTCCTCCTAGTGGCGTCTGTGGAGTCAGCATAATAAGTGCTGGATCATCTAAGGTTCCATGACCAACCGCGCAACTGTCCAATACTTGTGCACGTACCCTCTCTTTCGGCAAACGCGAGCACTGAGTGCAGGAATACGTGGCTTTTTCTTCTCTTTTTGCTTTGTCGTCGTCCCCTGTGGTGTGTGGTCTGCTTTCGACACTCTTCTCGTTCCAGAATTATGTCGTTTTCAGATACAATTGGAAAGCAAATCTTCGGTGGCTCTGAGCTACTAATTTTCCATGATGTTTTGGAGGAATGCTCGAAGATTTATTGACTGGAATACATCTTCCAACCCGTTGTAATTCTCAGTTTATCATTTTTCCTTCTCCGTTTCTTCCGCGATGCGGTATTCCAATTCTGTGACGGTATCATTACGTCTTCGACGCATGAACACTATCACAGGAACGGTGCTCGAATTCGATACGAGTGAAGTGTTGACGATGTCGCTTGAGCAAAATCTGAAAGATACCACGACTAAATACCACGTTTGATTGTTTTATTCTCATCGAACATGCTGTAACGGTGCAGACCTTGATTCTGTATGTTTTTGATTTCAACGCCGCCAATCTACATCCTTCTTTCTTAATGTTTCCGGAAGCTTCCTAACTTTTACTTCCACCTTTCTTCCATTTGGTGCCTGAAAATGCATCCGTGAATTAGTTGCTATAAATCTACTCCGTAAATCGCCGACCTTAATCCAATAGACGCATCTCTTGTAACCATCTTGGCTGCCGGTTGTCATAGCGGATGATTCGTTAGAGATAAGTCGTGTCCAGTTGCTTGTTGCATTCACTTCATAACCGCAAATTTCTGGCGGCTAAACTAATCGTCAAAGGAACTCGTTAGCTTGAGCGCGAAACTTCACTCACTCTTTCGTCGCAGAGCCGTCCACCGTATCCCGCTAGGACAGATGCATTCAGAGCAATTACGTGGATTCGGGAATCCTTTATTCTTGCATTCTGCGGATTCACCTTTTTTGCATCTGCCTGAAGCGCTATCTTTAAAAAACTGGACGATCACACCCTATTCATAATATTGCCTGCCTGTGCAATTGTAGTGATGTGTTCTCTAAGTATATCTAGAACGAAGGAGAAGGAACTAGAGTTGCGTATACACGATCTTGGGCAACATAGTAGTCTTTGTTCGGTTTGCGGAACCGCTAAAGATAAGAGTCTGATTTTTCCGTTTCTATTTATCTTCAGAAGAACCTTACGCTGTAGTTCCGTAGTGCATCACGCTGCCATAGTCATACGGTAGACCATAGTTGTCGTTGCTTTCATTATTCTCTTTTTCAAACTGTCTACGAATGTTGTAATCCCTACAGTCGCTCACGAAAATGCATTGTTTTGCTAGAATCTCACAATGCTTACATCGATATTTGTCCAGTTCACTGTGATATATTCGTCACGGTCATATCTTGCGTGTGTATGAAAAAATCCAAGCGCATGTCCGAGCTCGTGAGCAGCGGTACCGATCTCAAAGAAGTGAAAACTGTAAACAATAAAAGTCTGATGTGGGGACATTTTTCCCTTCTCTCATCTGAAATGCCTATAATTCCTGGAAATCCGGCACCTGTGAGGTCACAATACAATCTGAGCCACCCTCTACTAAAGTTCGATACGTTAGCTAAGGAGTTGTAGCGTTGCCGAGGAGATTGTAACCATACCGTCTACATTTCGGCAAGTGGATGGGTTGCCATACGAGAGGTTGTCTTCCAACGACTTGAGCCACAATAATTTCCACTGTTCACCGTAATGAGGTCTGAAACCCTGATTTTGCAGGAATTTGCAAACGCTTCCGATTCAGTGAACATTTACCGATATCTTCCAGGTAATCATATGGTAAGCTTTCGTTATCATAGTTATCATATGGCTCATCAGTGTCGTCGTAATAGCTGTAGTACTATAATATCATTCTTCGTATTCTTCATCGTCTTCTTCGTATTCTTGTTCTGTGATGTTAAGGCAAGTGTTGCGCGTCCATAAACTCGCTGCTTTTCTGAAGGCACTTTTGCCCCGTTTACCTAAATACAAGAGTGTTGCTTCGCTGCTTCTTTATATGGGCTCTACTAAAGATGAGTGACTGACTTAAAGTACTGTTCAACGTAAAATTGAGTGCTAGCTTTGTCCATTTGTAAGTTTCGTTCTTGAAAGCTTGCCGTTTTATCCGGCTACCTCCAAGTTCCCAAAGGCTTTCATGTTGTTGTTCCCTTAAAGAAAGCAAACTTTTGTAGCAAAGTGCAAACAAGGGGAACAGACTTTGAAGGATTATATTTTCCTGCGACCGCTCATCTGCACTTTGCATGTCAGGCTTTTTTTCATGGGGATCATTGAGCTTGACTACGGTAGATTCTAGCTGGTCAGCGCTCACATACGCGGCTACCAGTAGTCCCAGCAGGAGACCGCACATTGTTGAGACTAGAACTGAAAAAGCTCATTGAACTTTGAAATGACAAATCAGAGTATCGCAGAGAGATAAGAAAAATGTAGTTGCTCTATTCTCCCTGTTTTTATATGATGGTTCCGAACTTTGACGTTGACATATGTCTGAGATATCGGGGGTATACACATAGATTTTGAGAATAAACGATATTTCAGCTGGTGCTCGTGAATCCCGTCAGGATGTAGCTCAAACAACACTCCAACAATTCGAGCTCCGAAATAAGTACAACACATCACATCTGTTGTTAAGCCCACAGTGGTTTCGTTAGAGCATAATCTGTCTTTTTCTTCGACTGGCTTCTTGGAAACTCCTTACCACGTTGACGACATCGCGAGTGTTTGCACCGCGTGGGACCGAGCGATTTTGCGAGCGCCGCCGCCGCACACCAAATCCATGGATTTTGAGCTGTAAATACGCAATACTTAGATGCGATGAATGTTTTCAATCTTCGATCTGTTTAACTTATCGAGTTACAGTAATGGAAAATCGACCGACGTGTCAGGGCGAATTTTACTTACTTTCTTGTTAGTGGTTGCAAAATTAATTTGTACGTGGTTGTGTCAAAATCACATATCTTCCCATACGAATAGGTTTGTATTCACTTCTATTATTCTTTTTTATCTATACGTTCGCGTTAATAAAAGAAAACGAGGAATGAAGTGAACAGGCATACCCGTAACGTCTGGAAAAACGTCTGCCAAACTAAGAAAATTTTGGCCTTTCTGTGAAGCCATGTGGTTTTCAAGTATGCTAATGTATGACCTATAGAATGAGTACAAAGACCTTAGGAATAAGTCGCACAAGCGCAAGAAAAAGGGATGACTTGGGTGGGACGCGTTACCGCGTCACAATGTCCCACGAGGTGCGCAAAGTGGGACGCGTTACCGCGTCACGCTGTCGTCTAAGTGTTTTTGCTTCATCTCCGTCAGAAAAAATAGGAATGTTTGCCGGTGTAATGTTGCTTGGAATGTTTGTATGATGTGAGCATCATTGAAAGTACCACAAAATAAAAGAAAATTTTTTCACCACTTAGAATTATAGTCGTTGATATTTCGGGCAGCTCATGGAATACAAGAGCAGCACGTGTTATTTTTGCTACCGAGAAAATTTTTGTCAAGATTGAAGGTTCCCGTAATCTCGTTGAGCAGAATCTCGGTAACGGCCAAAACTCGTATTAAGAACGTAGTGGTATCATTACCCATTGGTCAAAGCAACGACGATTGATATATAATAGTTTTTCGCAAGTGGGTATGCTGAGGCGCCCAAAGCTTGTCTGCCCACAAATTGCCTGGGTGTGACGAGAAAAATTGCGAGGAGAACCGACCGCTAGCACAACCAATAGGAGCTGGATTCATTTCTCACATTAAAGTGATGTGGTCGCACATCAATTTAAAAAAAACTCGCAGTGAAGTGGCTGAGATTCCAAAAGGGGCAAAACTCGCGTTCGGGGGTGAACACGTGCGGAAGACGCTGCTGCTTCCTGAGCCGAGAGATAGATCGCTATCGGAAAAATAAACTACGGTTCCCATGGGAGTAAGGAAGCAGATGCCTGCATTGCCACCTATGGGTTGCTTGAATTGACCAGTTCCTCGAAGTGTTAGTGGTGTAGAGCGAAAGGGGAAACGTCGTCAACGCACCTGGGCATGCCTCCATCTGCGGTGAGAACTGAAATCTCTTGTAAGGGGCGAGCCCAGCAATGTCGCCGCCACATGCCTGTACCCCCCTTGACTGGCTATAAGGACGAGAACGACTAGTAATGTGGCACCAGTATGCAAAAGTGCCTAACCTGTGTGCACATCCAATTTCCCCAAGCAACCCATACAGTAATTTACACTGGTCATACTTCTTTCTCACATTGTACTAGATGATGTGTCCAAAGCCCAACAGCTCAGTACCTAGCATTCAGCGCAACCTCCTACCAATTTTAATTTGACCACACATCTGTTCATTAACGCACTACTTGCGAACACCACCGTCCGCGTGAGCAAATGCAGACGGCCATGCACACACATACATTTGTGAAGAGTCTAAGTGAATGTTTCTCGAGCGGGGAGGCCGTGGAACAGAAACAACAAAAAATATTGTGGATTCAGCTGTTGTCATGTAGTGTGTTCTCCACTCTTGGTTGTTACTGTCAGCACTTGTTTTATGATTGTCGTACGCAAAATGACGTGGCTACGTGAGGAACATGAACAGGAACACGTTTGTATGGCACTCAAGAAACCTAACGCTAAATCAAGTGCTATCAGAAGAACAACAAACTTTTCGTTCGAATATTGCGATATTCCGTCGTATTTTTATCAATGTATTCATTGTTGGATAGTGAGTGTGCACTTCTCAAGGTTTCAGCCATGTTTAGCCCTTCGAAAACGACGGAACGCCGAAGTTGACCACGGTACACTTTCCAACAAGCTAGATCCTGGCAGAAGTAAATAACACAGAGAGTAAAGGAAGTGCCGAGACTTCATAATAAGGAGGAGTCGTGGTGGTGCTCAATGGTACGCAGTGGCGAAAAAGCAGAGAAAAAAAAGGAAGAAAACGCAAAACGGGACCCCTTTTTTGGCCGTTGGTTTTCACTCATGAACAGGTAACAGCTCAGAAAGCGGACGTATGAACGAGTTCACCGCAACGTTTGGTGGCACCATGCCAAACCACGCTCCAATCGAGTTGCTCCAGTTGTGCCGCTGCTGGCAACGCAGCTCGTCCAAATCACCAACTAAACTAGTGGGCGGATCGCTTTTGGGGGCGGAGTGCTTTCGAAGTCCTGCTCAGCAACCAGCGCACCTTTCGTCGTGAAAGCGCCACACCTCGCTTCCTTGGCAGCCAAGTAACTGCTTCGTGTGGTGCATATGCTTCCCCGATGCGCTCCCTCTTTATCGTAATCGCTCCTTTTAAGCTCCAAAAATTTTATTGTCAAAAACAGAACACAAAAGCTTTGAAAGAAATTACAAATGAATTCATTTTTGGATGTGGTGACATTTCGGTGTTCATAACATTCGCCTGACCTGAAATAGGTTTCATATTAGTAAGCCACTTAATATTTTGGAAAATTCAACTGACTCACCCTGCTTGCCTCTTTATGGATTAACCACTCCCAATCATGTTGATCACGGAAAACAAAAACAACAATATGCGAAAAGTAGCCAGGTAAGTGCGGTATGTTTCTCTGTGCTACCATAAAAAGTTCTAAAGGGATCATACTGTGGGTCTCATCTCATTGCACATATGAGTCGTCGACGCCTTGTCCACATTTTGGACTCAGAAGCGAACGAAGCTCCGAAACGAAACGTTTTCCGTGTATGTAAAAAGTCGTTCTCAGGACATTTGTCAACCGAGAGGCTACTAATTTCTACGTCTTGTAATGTTGTCTGGGACCTCTCACATGACACTATTACAGCATCTCCGCTTTCTTTATCTCCTTCAAAAGGCTTAGTCCCAATACTGCCTAAGATGTATGCTTTTCCAGCTACACTCTCACTAGCCGGTTGACAGAAGTCTTGTAACCATATCAGGCCCAGCATGAACGCGCCCACACTTCTCACAAACAGACACGTCGCAGATATCTGATAAAAGGAAAGGGAACATTATAGGGAAATTTGCGAGCCTTGCAAGGTTGGTTCCAATACAATTGCCAAATTAGAATTAGATCAGGTGCCATGGAATGCGCCACAAATTTTTTTTTCTGGTATTTTTTTCTG